ACTAATATATAAATATATATTATAACAATTAATTAAGATACAAATATATATGCTAACAATTAATTAAGATAAAAAAAAATACTGTTACTTGATTTGATATTATGTTATAATTTGTTACATAATAGTTTTTGATTTTTTTAAGTTCTGCATTGTTGAGTATGTATTGTACCATAGGGTTGAGAAGTTTTTCTTCATACCCTTCTGCTGAAAAACTAAATTGCCTTGAGTTAATTATGTCTTGTACAGGTAGGAATATTTTTTGATCAAATTTTTTGTAAAACTTTAAATAATTAAAAACTTCTAGTTGGATGTTTGATAAAATGCTAATCCCAAGAAATTAAGTTCAATCATATAAATATTATTTATAATATTTTTATATAGATGTAATTATGATTTTGCAAATGGTAGTAACATTTCACAAACATGCTCAATCGGAAACTGCCATGTTGCCTAACAGGAACCATTTTTTTGAATACTTGAAGATACATGAAGCATATAGTGTATATACATTTTCATTAAACTAATATGCTCAATTGAATTTTTATAATAATCTTTAATAAATATAAGTAAATAAATATAAATATTAAAAGTTAATAAGTAAGTAATATAAATATTAAAAAGTTAATAAATAAGTATAAATATTAAAAAGTTAATAAGTAAATATAAATATTAAAATTAATGAGTAAGTATAAATATTAAAATTAATAAGTAAGTATAAATATTAAAAGTTAATAAATAATGATATAAAATCTTAATATTACCACTCATAATGTATATAAAATTTAATAAAAGGTTATTTATATTATTTAAAACATCTGTTGTTATAATTTTTTTTGATATAACCATACTGCCTTTACAAAAAGATACCATCCATTATAGTATTTTAATTGCAATCATCCTTTAAATAAAAGCAATGAGTACATTGTAATCCATGCAGCCTATTCCTTAGCTTTGTATCCATAGTAATGTAATATTATATTTCTTAAGGGTCTTCTAAGATTTGGTAGCAAATTCTTGCGCCATGCATGCATTTGTTTCCCAATATCTAACCAAGTTGACTTAGCCAATACATATGGTTCTCTATTTTGTAATTCATCAGAAAAGAAAGTTCCAGTCCAATGTTCGAACATATACTTGGCAATGTTCTCATAAAATAAATGCATAATATCTATAGCAAAGAAATCAGGAAAATGTGTTGTTGGCAAATCAAACAGAATGCTACATTTACTAATTCTTGTATAAATAATTAATTAGTATTTATATTATATGAAAAGATTTTGTTTAGGCAGGCAAATATAATTATAGTTTAAACTATTTTAAACTATTTTATAAATTATTTATAAATTAGTAAAACTAGTTTAAATTATAATTATTTTTGCCCACCTATAATAAAGTTTATTCTATATTTTATTTTTAATAACACAACATTAACATATTTAGTAATTAATTCACTTCACTCTTTTTCAGATTTTGATTCACAGATTTTCTTAAGCCTTTCTTTCTATTCTTCATGTGTTCTATTTGGTAGATTAGCTGAACAATATCTTTCTGAATTAAAATTTGGAGGTGGAGTTGTAGGATAATAGATATGATTTGTGCGAACTCCTCTCAAATTACAATATTGACACCCTTTATAACTATTATGTTCAGTTATACCCATTAATTTTGTCAATTCTGGAGTATCACCTGACCAATTAACTATAACAGCATGAAGGATAAAATATTCTTCTTTAAATGCATCATAACAATTTATATCCCCTATTAATAAACCAACATTTGGTAATAAATAAAATAAAGTTTAATATGTAGTTAATATAAATAAATTTTAATAAATAATTTAAAAATAGGGTATTTGTAGAAGTTACATGAACCAAAATTGGCAAATTTTATTGCTTAACATCAACTATGTTTGCTAATTTTGGTTTACGTAACTTCTACAAATACCCTACCCTTAATCTAAATAAATTGTTAATAAATAATTTAATATAAATGCAATTTAATATAAATAAATTTATAATAAATAATTTAATATAAATGCAATTTAATATAAATAAATTTATAATAAATAATTTAATATAAAAATATTTAATTTCCAACTTTTGTGTAATTCTTTGATCATAGAAAAAAGATAAGTATTAATATCTTTTGGCTCTTTTGGCCTAGGTATAATTATATTAATTAAAAGATTTTCTTTTTTAACATGATTTTCAAAAGCCAAATTTGCGTTAATTACCAATACTATCCAACAGTTATTAGTCTTTTGTCTAAATATTTGATAACCATCAACTGAAGCTACTAATGCCACATCTTGTTCATCTTGAAAGTACCCACATTGTACTAACTCTTTATAATGAATACTATCAAAAATGTCACTATTTGATTAGCATATTTATATAATCTTTGTGATACATAATTAGCCCTGTATCTCAACTCTACTGCACGATAGGGATCTCTGTATTGAATAGTAAGGCACTGTACAAGTGAAAAATATGCAAACTGTCAATGTGATTTTCTAATTTTTTTGTGATAATAATACTGATCTGACTTACAAACTGAACACTTTAATAATTTTTGGTAGTTTCTAGTATATGCATAGCATGAGTTAAAACACATATCTATCCATAGAGGTTTAATGTCCACAATTAATTTCAATGTTTTTTTGATAATATGCAA